GATGTGGAACAGATGACCCGTAAATGAGCTCATCAGAAACGGCAGAAATGGATATGTTATAAAGCTGTTAACACACAGTTTGGCATAGTTGGAAGCACTATGCTTTATTCAAGCACGCATTTTACAAGAGGCCATTTCAGTTCACCAAACATTTTACCAAGTGCTTGGCACGTCACAGTTTTTCTCGGTTTGCCCAACACTCTTACCACATAGGCAACAGTTTCGGTGTTCGCGAGAGCAGGTATCGCTGTGCAGCAAGCGGAGTGATGCCAGAATGGAATATCTACCGGAGCGAAGTGTTAGAGTTACGTTTCTGGGCATTCAGATGCAGGCCCAGTTGAGTAGCTGTTTTTTCTACGATCAACAGCATTTTGGCCAGGCCTTCATTCGCATAGAGTAGGGTCGAAAAGCGTTTTCTGTTGCATGTACCAAAAAAGACGGCTTTCTTATCTCAGGTTAACCCTAATGAGAGGCTCCATGAAAGTACTGAGAAGCAAGGCGGTGTAAAGGTGTCCGCGAGCGTAAAACAATATCACTACACATGTCCCTAAATAGATCCAGGCCGTGCTCTGGATGACCCGTTTCCTTCATAATGCGTGCTATCAGCTCATGTGAAACGGAGCCAAACATATCCAACATGTCGAACAGACCGGTGTAGAGATCAGCTTTGGTGTGCCAAGCATGCTTCGTCATAATCGTGAAAGTGAATATGCATTCACTGCATCCGTCCACGAAGTAAAAACATTTTTCTAATCGTTGTTCTGGAATCAGTCATCTAACCAATGGCGCCACACTGAGGAGAAATAAGACTCGATGATGAAGGTCTTCACGAAATGATGTTGGAGCGTCACTGTGTTTGAACCCCAATAAACACTGATTCTGCCTCCGTCGTTTTCGAAACGGCTGCGGCAGGATGCAATGGTGGAAGAAGCAGGAGAGGATCAGAGCATCGGGTTCAACGAAGGCGTCTCCAGACCTCTGACGCTATGAGTTTATCAATGAGTGGCTTGTTGTCTAGCAATTCCATGGCGAGGTTCAGGTCGTAGAATAATCTGGAAGAATTCCCTGAGTAGAATAAAGCCGTCGGTAACCGGTCTCAATATGCCGAGGGAGCATTGGGCATTTCGGGCTGTTTTCACTAAGCACATTACAGTCTGTTCATTAATGTTTCCTCGTGCCTTTACCGTAACGTGGGACTTTGGGATTGGTTTTAGTGATTTCGTGATATTCGTGGAAAGTCGGGAAATTTCGCCTTCGAATCTTCGGCGACAGTGTTGAGTTTCGTCACATTAAGTGTCTTTACGAGCAGTGAAGTAAAGTTGCTCTGGAGGGCTCTAGAGGTGGTCATCCGGAGAGGAGAACGCTTCAACAGCGGAACTCTCAGGTCACTTACAACATTATAAAACCGAGATCTAAGAACAGACGCCATTCCGAGACTGAATGATAGCAAGGCTTGAGCAAACGGATGCCCGAGGAACACGCAGTTGAAGGGGCTGCAGGTGAAACCATTCTCTCGTACGGCGCATTTTCAGATCTGAGTGATATGCTAATCTCCCACACTGACTAGTTGCATTTGCCCTGGTCGCATATCAGTGTAGAGACAACAGCCTCATCGTACTTTTGAAGGGATCAACAGTAGCGAGCCGCCTTGGCAAGCGGGCTGAACATCAAAAGTAGCCAGTGACCGTTGCGGCCAACGCAGCAGATGATGCTCTCGCAAGGTCGACAATCCTGGGGGAGGAAGGAGATGAAACTTTTGAGCTATCGGGCGTGTTAGTGAAGGGGTGATTGATAGAAAGAGAGGCGACGGATGCGGAAATGACAAGGCATTTGTTACCAGGCCCTTGAAAGGTCATGGATTGAGAAGAGGTGTAATCGCTGATGGTGGCGTCGGATCACGAGTTTAAGGCAGAAATCGAGTAAAAGTCAGCCACGTAGATTGGCATAGCTTGAAAACTCTTCGAAACAACCTTACGTAGCAAAGACAACAGGATTTTGATTTAAATCTTATTACTTCTAATGGCATAGGAAACGTATTGTAAGAGTATTAGAGCAAAGGAAAAAACTATATGCACAACGGAAATAGCAGATCAGGCAGACTTCGATGACGATCAGAAGAAAATCTGAAAATGGTTCGAAATAGTGATTCGTTAAAATAAGGGAATAATCTGAATTTGTGATTATCGGGATTTCCCGTTTCTACCCCCCCCCCATCTAGCAGATTTCGTTAGGTAGGAGTCTGCTGCTTGGTTCGATTCCATCAAAGCTCTTCAGCATGTAATCGCGTCATTCGTCAAAGCACGACACTAACCTTGAACTTGCTATCCAGTTCGCGTCTTTGTAGAATATCCATATTTTGGCAACGTTTCCTTAGTATCGGTCTGGACTTTTTTCCACTTACTCGAATTAACTATTTAATTCAGATTACTGAGATTACATCTTACGTGCTCTGCAAGAAAGTGTTCCGGACGAGGTTGCTTTGCTGGCATCAAGCATCTATGCAAAATCCTGACTTTTACGTAGCTAAGCAACCAGGTGTCAGTTCAAAGTAACGGAAAATTCGGTAACTTACAAAAAGCAGCGGTTTTGATATCGTTCTAGAGCAGACATACTTATTAGATGACGAGTAATTTGGGAGCAGGCCCCTTCCTATCTACATCTGAGTTACGCTGCTTTTAACAGAAACCTGTTTTCTACTCTCTTCATCTAAGTCGTAAGGGTGAATACTGATACCAGACTGCATAACTCTTTAACAGCAAATCGTCCGCCATTTAGCCCAGTTCACTGGATTTTCCAGTATTCTTCCAATTAAAGCAGCTTACATGCACATACCTCGATTTTCTGAAGCAAAGCTTCAATTTTCCAAAAACTACTTTCTACGCTTCCACCTATTCCCTGCTTTTGCTTAGAGCATAACAGTACTGAGTTCGGCTTTCAGCGTGATATGCAAGATCATTCTGATTCATAAGTTGTTGCAGGTCCTGAGCTTGGTAATAACCTATCTAAATAACAAAAGGAATTCGAATAAGGTGGGAGTTGAATAAGAATTTATCTTCTTCATTTTCATCTTCCATCCGCTTCTGCTTTCGAGTCGCGGAGGCAGACGCGTCAGATTCCTTCCGGGTCGCGGAGGCAGACGCGTCAGACAGTGCTTCCAACGTTCCCGATCCTGTGCCAGAGTCTGAGCTTCGGCAAAAGACAAATGCAGTCTGGAACAGATTCCTTCCATATGTTTGCGCCAGGTTAATCTTGGCCGTCCTCTGGGCCTTTTGAGGGTCGGATTTGCAATAAGAATTTATTAACTCTGGTTTAAAACTAGTCTACAGAATACATGGTAAAGCTGATTTATCTTACTCTGAATACAGTTGTAATCAAAACAGAATGATGACACCCTATACCAGTAATACATTTAATAGAATACTGCGACAACTTTGATGAGCACACTTATAAGGTAACTGATATCTGCATCTGTTGATTTACCGGAACTGTGTATTGAGCCTTACAGATGCTTTACATTAAGAAAATAATTTAATATTTTTTATTGTTCATCAGAACTGATGCATGTTGTAAACTTACTGATCAAATCTTACTCACTGTAAGAAACCGCCAAATGTTTTGAACAGCTGTAACTGTTGAGATGTCAGATGGTGAAGAAGGCATTT